GAATCAAAACTTCTTAATGCTGCATAAATAAAATATAAAGTGGACACTGTGATGGATACAATATTACAACTTTCACCCATAACTTTGTTTTTGAAACACCTTCACTGTTCTTTTAAGAGTAGATCTTCTAGATATAACATATCGATTTTTTGAAATATCTTATGAAGAAACCCTTTTCTAGTGGAACATACACTTGTCTTCTACACAATGTAGTTTAAAAAATATGGTCTCATATTTTGAGGATAAGACCACTTAAAAAGTTAAGAACAGAGACCATTCTGCAAAGAGGAAGTTTAATGAGTAGGATTAGTAAGAATTCACTGAAGCCCATGGTCCTGGCAATCGATAGAATATTCCTGGCCACAGACAGAACTCTGGTACTTACTATGTAACCTTAAGCTGGTTACTTAATTTTTCTCTAAAAAATGTTTTTCTAATGTTTATTTGTTTTTGAGAGAGACAGAGAGTGAGTGGGGGAGAGGCAGAGAGAGAGAGAGAGAGAGAGAGAGAGAGAGAGAGAGAGAGACACAGAATCTGAAGCAGGCTCCAGGTTCTGAGATGTCAGCACAGAGCCCGATACGGGGTTCAAACTCATGAACTGTGAGATCATGACCTGAGCCGAAGTTGGACACTGAACCGACTGAGCCACCCAGGTACCCTAATTTTTCTCTACATTTCAATTTTCTCATTTATAAAGTGGGATAACTAACACTCATCTTGCTGTGTTGTGAGGAAAAATAACACAAGTGAAAAGGTTTTTCTAAAATGGTATATGAATTATGATTTGATATGAACCAACACTCATCTCAGATCCTAATGGTTTTCTCTGCCAAACTCTTCCAACTTCTTTATCCCTACATTTCAAACATTCTCTCCTTAAGTAATCTGAAATTGAATGCTGTCCTGATATTCAACTGTTTTTCACCTAGAGAAACCACAATTTCATATAATTTGACATAATGAATTTTGTCACTGAAATCTCCCTGCCCTATTTTAAAATTAAAACCAGTTAAAAGTTTTGCATTTTTTTCTAGAAAACACTCACTTTTAGGTTATTCTCATATGATAAATATGCCATATGTTAATTTATTTCAGAGAATCAGTAGCCCACAACCCTAAAAAGGTACATTTGCTCCAATCTCTAAGGGTAGATTTAGTACTTCCAAAAAATGTACTGAGAAAACTTTTGCTCCCAGTAACAGCACAAATATTTAAGAATTCTTACCCCATTTATCCTTGGTATTTGCATTTGAAAATTATTCTAATATTTTGTGACATTTAATTTTCCATGCCGAACAAATAAAATGCAGACAAATCTAATGCACTTATGACGCAAGAATTATTCATGAATGTGAAAGCCTAGATCAAAATAGTGAAAGCAATCCACTATGCCACTTTTGTTTTTCAAAGCTTCATGTGAGGAAGTCTTAAAGGAAATTTCACATTTTTTAATACCTATGTGTCTACTTTGAACGTTCCTTAAGAACAAATGATATGAGAGCATCCCCCCCGAACCCACAATAGATATACCCACATCAAAGTAAAGGATCACTGTGGAAGAACAGTACGCTTGTGAGTGAAGAGGCTGGATTCTGGGGTCAGTCCTGTCACTCACTTACAAGATGCCTTTGGGTACATTGCCAAGTTTCTCTGAGGCTGAGACTAACTGGGCCTTCTCAAGTGTTAGCCAGCTCTAAAATACAGTACTTTGACCCTACCTTAGAATTTAAGTCGGCAGAATGGATACTGAAGCACAACTCGCTGCTGGGGGTGCACGTAAGGGATTATTTAGCTTAATGACGGTGCTTAAATAAGCAACTGTCTTGTCTCAGTATTGTAGTTCAATGGCAGAGTCACCTGATAACATGCAAGTTCAGGGAGATTAACATATTTTTCTACTGTGAATATCACTCAGGAGAAGCTAAAATAGATTTAGGCATTACACACGGGATTAGGTCATCTCACCCAGCGAACACGGTTTCCTGTTTCTGGCTTTCAAAATTACACACCTGGTTTTATATCAGCCACTCACAGTACTTCCCACCGAGAAGTGGGATTGTTTTCACACCACGTGCAAACAGTGAGGCTCTAAGTGCAACACACGTTTGACCTTCTTCTACACAATGAACAACCACTACCCTGGGTTACTCTTTGGAGTATTTTCCCTGAAAAACATTTCGTTCACAAAAACTTTAAATGCTTTTTACTTCTAAGCTGGCACAAATACAGGCACCTGGGTGGCTCAGTCGTTTAAGTGTCCGACTCTCGATGTCGGCTCAGGTCATGGCCTCGCAGTTTGTGGGTTCTAGTCCTGCATTGGGCTCTGTGCTGTCAGCACAGATTCTCTCTCTCCCTCTCTTTCTGCCCTTCCCTCTTTGCACGCGCGCTCTCTCTCTCAAAATAAATAAATAAACTTAAAAAAAAAACAACTTGCACAAATAAATTCCAAGAATATATTTTTAAAAGCCATTACCAAAAGCATTTGAATTTTTAGGTTGAGAGAAGAAAATACTCTTCAAACAATTAAATACCAACTGATTTTTCTGATAGGACAATTCCTTTAAAGCTTTTGCTACACTTTTTTTTATTGGGGGGCTCTGATACCTTTCTTAAAGTAAGTTTTATTTTACCCTTTACTATTCTGTGTTTTCTTAATTTTCTAACATACTAACACTACTCTCAGTAAATGAAAAAAATTACTAAAGAAATGATGGTATCAGTAAAATATAAAAAATGTAAAAACTGTGGAAATAATATAAAAAAATTATCACCAACTTTGATATACTCAACAGTCTCTGAAAGTTGCTTTTAGTAACTTACATAAACTGAATTTGATGAAGCTCAAAAAAATTTTTATTTTATTTTTTTTAATGTTTATTTTTGAGAGACTGAGACAGAGCGTGAGTGAGGGAGGGCCAGAAAGAGGGAGACACGGAATCCAAAGCAGGCTCCAGGCTCTGAGCTGTCAACACAGAGCCCAACATGGGGCTCAAACCACGAACCGTGAGAACATGACCTGATCCAAAGTCGGACACCCAACCGACTGAGCCACCCAGGTGCCCGTCAAAAAATTTTTTTAAATGTTTATTTATTCTTGAGAGAGACAGAGAGAGAGAGAGAGAG